AAGAAAGAAGAAATTTGTTACAAAGAAGGAAAAAGAAAAAGAAATATTGGTATTATGGCGGCAAAATGAACAGAAAGAAAATAAAATAAATTAGCTGACAGTTACAGAGAGAGCTGTCAGTCCGTAGTCTTGGAGATACCATAATGGCGCCTCTAGGTTTTATAGCCTGCAGATAAAATAAAAGACACAAAATGGATATGTCTTTCAAGATAGCGAAATGTTCGACAATATTTTTTCTGTTATCCAAAATCCCCGCAAGACCACTTTAATCTGTATATTTCTTTCTAGGTATTAGTTTATTTAGAGAACAAATTGGAGAGGCGTTTTCTTAGAGCCAAGAACTTCAGCCTCGTTTTCGTTTGCCGCTTTCTTGTCTTTATATAAAGTACGAAAAGCCACGCAACGAACGAGTCAAAATATAATCAAAGAACAAAAATTGGAAATCATTCTCTAAAAAAAAAAAAAAAAAAATTGAAAGAGAAAAAAAAAAAACAAGAATAAGAAAATAAAAAGAATATATTCTGCTTGTCACGTGTTATGCATCCTTCAAAGAAATTTCTGAATTCTGCGTAACGCATAGCCAAGAACTATTTATACGAATTTAGATCTTGTATTGAGATTATTCAATTCGAACAAGCGAAAGGACACTAGAAAACGTCACAAGACCAGAGCCTTAGCCTTCTCCCACCCACGATGTGTTCCCAGTCCCCACAGTTATGTGTATTTTTCTCTAGCCAACGGCTCATACTAAACACCGATTCTCTTCTTAACGTATTCAGTTGCTATATAGTGGAACTAAGACTTAAGGTTCTGAATTTAGATGCCACCAATATAGCATTTTTGAAAACAGTAAACATATTAAATGTTTATCTAAATATAATATATTCCTTTTTCTATCGTATCCATTCAGGATGTTTGACAATCATGGCTCTCCATGGAAGAAGGCACAGTCACAGTTTAAACGTTTAATTGCATAAAATTCCGGGATGGTGGTTTGGCCGGGACTACAAATTGGATAATAATTATTAAAATTTTCAGGAGAGTACGTTGAATTAAGAAAGAAAATGAAAATAGAAGCGAAATAGGAATTGTTTTAAACTAATAAAACGTAATATTTGAACAGTTCCAGGGTTTGGTTTGTTTTGTTTTACGGCGTATCAACCTCGATGAATTATTTAATGCCGGCAACTTTTTTTTCTTGGTAATTTGTTTTGTCAAAAATCTATTTCTGCTAATATTTTTCCTCAAAAATGTATAGCTGGTAATATTTTTTTCAAAAACGTATTGCTGGTAATATTTTAAAAAAATATATTGCTTGTAATAGTTTTTTTCTTCTAAGATTTATTTCTGGTAATAATTTTTTAAAAAGCATTTCTAGTATTAAAACCTGTTTTTTTTAAACACTTTTATAATGCTTTTTACCTCAGTTTCGGGGTTAGCTGTTTGCCCATAGCTGGGACCCTAACAGGTGCTACCACCCAGGGTCAGGGTGGATCTGTGAACACCAGCAATTAAGAGGTGGATCCACGCTCCTCAAAACCTCCTGATCAGTGGCCTTGCTGTTGGACTTAGTTTATCGTCTTACTCTGGACGCGGATGTAGTTTATCGTCATACCCAGGATGAGAACAGTTCCAGGGAGAATCAACTCAGAATTAACTAGACAAGATTTAGTAAACTTCAGCAAAAGCCAGGTTTCCAAGCCTATCCACTTCCCACCGATAAGAAGACATGATTAATGTGTGAATTCACCTCTTCTCCCTCTAGCTGTGTGTTAACTAGTAGGACGTGTATGAATAAATCATTATTATCTACCCCCCAAAAAAAAATTCTTACAATTTAAAATCTGTTATAGCTTTAAATAACCTGTAAAATTTGATAAGCTCTAAAAGTTACAAATCAATCGTATCGATGAGAGTTAAACTTGGTATTATATACGTCCTAAATGCATAGACACTACAATTCAAATGTTTGAAACTAACCCCAGAATTACCATGGGATAAACTTGACAGAACCCTCAACTTTTCCATCCAAAAAAGTAATAATAGCTCTCTTGAGTCATTGAAAAAAAAAAAGAATGGAATCAATTATCAAACGTATACTTTGATAATGTTGATCGATCAAAAAACACAATTATCTTTACAGAAATATATCTAGGAAGATTCTAAACAAAGAAAGTACGTGTCTATATTTCTGAGATGAGGTATTATGTACACTATTTACATTATTCGGACTATTGTCCTCATCTTTGTCGCCATATTTATCACATTATTATTTATCCTCAAGCACACATGGCACAGTGGATAAAGGCGTTGGTTAGATCCAGTGACAGAACCCAAATAGTGTGAGTTCAATACCCGGTTAAGGCAGTGGAGAACTTTCAGAGGGAAAATTAACAGGATAACTGACATCCATTAAACATGGCACGTGGAACTAGAACAGTCTACCCCAGTGAGCGAAATAAAGGGGTTCTGTTCGACATTCTAACCACCTGAAGAAGGCCGGAGCGTACAACGAAACGTTGTAATAAATATGGCTATAAAGATGAGGACAAAAGTCCGAATAATGTAAAGAAAGTATGATATGTTCTTTTTAACAAGGTTTCCTTAGACTAAAACGCTTGGGTGGAGAAATTGGATATATCATTTTTCTATAATATATACACACACATTTTTCATAATATATACACAAGCATATATATTTTGGATAATATCATTTTTTTTTGGTAGTGGGGAGTCTATATAAAAGTCAATTCCCCAGGCCGAGACACACAGACGGAAAATCGGCCCAACAAGGAAGATCGCCAGAGACTTACTGCGACAGGAGCAGTGAGAGTCGGAGGAGTCGACTCAAAGCGGACCTGGATTGCTCGTAAGACAATCATCGCTAAAGAGCACCATTTTAAACAGTATTACATTTTCTAAGCCCTCGTTACATGCCCCCCGCCATTCAAATGTATTTTTCTCATTATAAGTACAAGTGTTCTTTATTTTATTTTATTTCCGAACTTGCTTTATGCTCTCCCATGGCCAAAATGGTAGCAGCACACATCAGCTATAGGAGTGATTTCCGTGATGGAAAAAGGGAAACAGGTTCGATCCCTGTCAGGAAGCACAACTTTTCTTTGGTAGGTCTTATCTATTTAGCCGCCGCCTTCTTATTCTTCTTCTTCTTATTATTATTTCTTCTTTATTTTCTTTGATTTCTGGCGTTTACACATTTCTTTCCGGGTCCCGCCCAGGGACCTAAGGTTAGAAATGGCGTCATGACACTTTCCACTGACAAAAAAAAATTTACATAGATAAAGCCCTTCGTAAAGTGTGGGCTGTACTTGTCAGAACAATTTTTTGTATCTCCTTGAGGCATGGACTTCCAGGAATCCCTTCAATTAGTCTACTGCAATCTTTTCCAACCAGTCCTAGGGCTCCAACTACAACAGGGATTGTTGATGTTCCCATATGCCACATTTTCGAGATTTCTATTTCAAGGCCTTTGTACTTTGAGAACTTTTTGAATATATTCAAAGATACATTGCAGTCAGTAGGGACTGCCATATCAATAAGGAGGCACCGTTTTTGTTTGTGGTCTTTAATAACAATATCTGGCCGGTTGGCCTTGATTGTTGTGTAATCCCATAGAATTGTAACAGGTCCTATCTCCGTAACCGGGTCTGGGTGGTGTTCATACCAGTTTCTTTCAGTTTCCTTCCCGTAAAAGTTGCAGATTTTCCAGTGCAGATATTGGCCCACTCTGTCATGCCGGGTTTTACATTCAGTGGGTGCCAACACCGTGCAACCTGATACAAGATGATCAATCGTTTCTGGATATTTATCACAGAATCTGCATTTTGGGCTGACACAATATTTTAGTATATGTGCTTGATAATTCCTAGTTAGCAAGCATTGGTCCTGCGCAGCAAGGATAAAACCTTCAGTTTCCGCTTTCAATCAGGAGGAGGAGGAGTACCAACTCAAACGCGTGCCCCCCAAAAATATGTATTTAAGTAATGAGAAATAATGTCGGATTCATCCCTTTGAAAATATACATAAAGATATATACTCGAAGGTTACAAAAATTAGTTGGAAAATGAAAGAGAGAGAGAACGGTGTGTATGAGAGAGAAGGAAATGGTAATAAAGAAAAGAAAAAAGGAAGGAAGATGGTAAAAGAAAGGAAAAACGAAATGTTTTTTAAAGAAAGTGTTATAATCTAGAAAAGGTTACTGAATGAGGAATAACCAAAACAGAGATTGGAAATGAAATGGTCATCTTTATAACATCAACAAAATACAATACTCGTGAAGTAGGTAAACAACTGCTAGTGGTGGACTACTTAGACAGCATATTACCTCCACTTACAATAGTGGCCAACGTATTTATGAGGATTGGGACATATCCGTTAGTGTTCACCTGTACTGTATATAATAGAAAGAAAAAAAGGAAACAATAATATAGAGAGAAATAAAAGAAAGACATTGAATTTAGATTGGGATTAAGAGAAACAGAAAGAGAGACAAAGTGAAAGAAAAAGACGATAATTTAGAGAGAGAACTAGAAAAGTGAGAGAATAAAAAAGAAAAATGGGTGACGATGTTTCAAAGAAAGTGAGAAAAGTGAGAATGAAAAAGAAAAAGCGAAGCAATAATTTAAAGAGAAACAGAGACAGCAAAAGAAAATTAAGAAAGAAAAAGATGATAATTTAGAGAGAAAAAGAGGAAATAGAAGGAATGAAAGAAAGAAAAATGAGTGACAATGATTCAGTGAAATAGAGAGAGAGAAAAGTGAGGCTGAAAGAGAAAGAAAAAGTGAGACAGTAATTTAGAGAGAAACAGAGATAGCGAAAGAGATACAATTAGAATGAAAGAAAAAGACGATGCTTTTGAAAGAAAAAAAAGGATAGAGATGGAATGAAAGAAAGAAAAAATGAGACTCCATGATTCAGAGAAAGAGAGATGGAAAGAGAGATGGAAAGAAAAAAAAAGAGATAATAATTTAGAATGAAAGTCAACGAAAGAAAGAAAAAAGACGATTATTTAGGGAGAGATAGTTAAAAGAGAGCGAATGAAAGAAAGACAACTGTGAGACTGATTCGGAGAAAGAGAAAACTGAAACCGAAAGAAAAAGCTAGACGTTCAAAGAGAGAGAGAGAGAGAGAGAGACAGAGAGGAGGAGGAGAAAAGAATAAAAGAGAAAGAAAGAAAGAAAGACAATGTAGAGAAAATGACGGTTCAGGCCGTGGAAGGAGTAATGTACTTACCTGGGTTGTTGGTTCTTCTTGTTGACAAAAAGCTGCTACCTTTTTACTAATTTTTGTTTAGTTACAGGGTCTTGTGAGTTGTTACCACGTGATTCCTGAAGTGGTTATAAAGGAAATGTTTTTTTTTTTTCCTCCATGTTTTTTTTTTCGCTCAATGCAAGTTATCAGCCGTTTAAGCTATGTCGTGGAAGGAAACATTTTTTCGCAACTTAAGGTAAGTACTTTGCGCGGCCTGCACCGTCTGTGGACCTTTTTGATGGGGGGGGGGTGAGATTTTTTCGACAACAATGGAAGTAGAAAAAAAAGAGGAGTGAAGATGAAAAAAAAAGAGAACGTGGAGAATGAACTTTCGATGAAAAGAGGAGGAAGATGCAGAATAAGTGAAAGAAAGAAAAAAAACCGGAGGCAAAAGAAGAAAACGAGTTAGAATTCTTGGAATAAATGGAGAAAAGGCACGAAATAAAACTGATAAAAATGGCGCGGAAAATATACATAATTCATTATTCGGACTATTGTCCTCATCTTTGTCGCCATATTTATTACAACGTTTCGGCCTTTCAGTATCTGTCTATATTTCTGAGATGAAGTATTATGTACATTATTTACATTATTCGACTATTGTCCCTGTTTCGGCCTTTCAGTATATGTCTATATTTCTGAGATGGGGTATTATGTTATTTACATTATTCAGACTATTGTCCTCATTTTGTTGCCATTCAACGTTACGGTCTTTCAGTATCTGTCTATATTTCTGAGATGAGGTATTATGTACATTATTTACATTATTCGAACTATTGTCCTCATCTTTGTTGCTATATTTATTACAAATATTTCGGCCTAGTATCTGTCTATATTTCTGAGATGAGGTATTATATACACTATTTACATTATTCGGACTGTTGTCTTCATGTTTCTCACTTACATATCACAAACGTTTAGGTCTTTCAAATATTTCGTTTTATGTACACTATTTACATTATTCAGACTATTGTCCTCTTTGTCGCCATATTTATTAAAACGTTTTGTCTATCTGTCTATATTTCTGAAATGAGGTATTATGTACACTATTTACATTATTCAGACTATTGTCCTCATCTTTGTCGCCATATTTATTATAACGTTTCGGCCTTTCAGTATCTGTCTATATTTCTGAGATGGGGTATTATGTACACTATTTACATTATTCAGACTATTGTCTTTTTGTTGCCATATTTATTACAACGTTTCTTTCAGTATCTGTCTATATTTCTGAGATGAGGTATTATGTACATTATTTACATTATTCGAACTTTGTCCTCATCTTTGTTGCTTTTTATTACAACATTTCGGCCTCCAGTATCTGTCTATATTTCTGAGATGAGGTATTATATACACTATTTACATTATTCGGACTGTTGTCTTCATGTTTCTCACTATACATATCACAACGTTTAGGTCTTTCACTATCTGTCTATATTTCTGAGATGAGGTATTATGTACACTACTTACGCTCCGGTCCTCATCTTTGTCTTCAGGTTTCGGTTGGAATGTCGAACTGAACTTTTATTTCGCTCACTGGGGTAGACTGTTCTAGTTCCACGTGCCATGTATAATGGATGTCAGTTATCAGTTATCTCCCGTTAATTCCCCTCTGCAAATTCTTCACTGCCTTAGCCGGGTATTGAACTCACACTCTTTGGATCCTGTCACTGGATCTAACCAGTTCAATACCCGGTTAAGGAAATGGAGAACTTTCAGAGGGGAAGTAACGGGAGATACCTGGTAACTTACATCCATTAAACATGGCACGTTGAACTAGAGCTGTCTATCTCAGTGAGCGAAATAAAGGGTTCAGTTCGACATTCCAACCACCTGAAGAAGGCCGCAGCGTACAGCGGCCGAAACGTTGTAAAAAGTATGGCGTCAAAGATGAAGACAATAGTCAGAATAATGTTAGGAACTCTTTCGCACAAGTAAGATGCAAGTATATGGATTTGTATACAAAAGAAGATAAACCTTCCAATACTCGTGTGGAAGTTTCTTCTGGTTCAATACTTTCCCAGCCAAGTTTGACCTTCCGAAATTTGAATGCAATGTCAATCGTTATCTATTGTCTTCTTGATTGTTCTTCTTCTATCGTTCTCGCTCCTTCACACTGTTTATGATTTTTCTTATTACTTTGCACTCAGTAACCCTTTGTTGTTTTAGTGACATGAGGTGACATGATAAAAACAACGTTCGATAAGTCTTCATTTATTTTGAATGTAAAAACCAACCATTTTACGCCAACCTCCACAAAATAAATTAAATGGGGAACCCCCATATATATATATATATATATATATATATATATATATATATATATATATATATATTTAATGAAAAACAGACCAATTTAAGGTACCATTACAATAATTTATTTCACCAAAATTCTTTTTAAAGGATTTCGGATCATCAGGTAACACTTCCAACAATGAAATGAGAGGAAAAATGGGATTAGAAATTGATGGGTAGTGTAATCTTTGTAATTAAACAGGGAGGGTGAAGGTGGCGGTCAAAGAGACAATACAGAGTATAGGGAGGGTTAAATTTATATCTCTCTTAAATAAGCTTTATATTGAGGTAGGAGGAGTGACCTAACCTTGACCTATTTATATGGTTAAAAAAACGGAAGTGATATGTAGGAATAGTGAGGAAAGGAAATAAAGTAAAAGGAAAAAAGAGAAAAAAAAATGGAAAAAAGGCAGACGTATCCAAATGAGTTTTATGGCAAAGAGAGAGGGGGAGAGGGAATAGAATCGAAAGAGGCTGTAATTTTGTTTTAACAAAATTATGTAAAAGATAGATTACAATGTTTGATAGAAAATTAGGTGTCTAAAAAAATTGTGAAAGATATTAATTTAATATTTAATTTTTTAAGTAAATAGTTTAGGGATTTAATACAAGTTAACTACTATTGTAATAAACATATTTATCGAGAACATATTAAAGAAATATTTAAAATTATATTAGTTCATTTACCCGACCAATTGAGTTTCCACAATATAGGAAGAAAAATACGGTAACAATAACATCTATATTATTTTAATATTTAAAATGATTTGTGAATGCAATTTTTATTTATTGTTATATGGGTAAACTTAATTAAGGTTTAGGTTTCATTATTTAATAGTATTTGAGGGTAATATTAAAGATTTTGTTTTCTTCTTATATATGTTTCACAAACATATTTCTGTAAATTCATACATACATACTCTCATTAACAAGTACAAATACACACATAGACACACATGTAACAATATACACAAAAGATCATTCATCTTCATACATAAATTATATATACATTTCACAATTATTATCTATATTTTAATATTTGAAATTTATTTAGATTTTAGTTTGATTCCATAGTTAAAGTTTAAATTTAGGTGATTTCTGAAGTGTTTCATATTATTAAAGGAAATTTGCTAATATTATTATTACTAGTTAAAGAATGGTAAATTTAAATTTAAATTATCATTTTTAAAAATAAATTCCCTTCAGAAGATAAAAATACACGCAACAAAACTAATTATAGAGCATTACAAGATAAAATGATATTAAATATTAAGAATAGTAAATTTAAACGCCATTAGAATGATCTAATTTCTTCTATTTAAAACTTAATCATACCCGTATACACACTTATACACATATACATACATACACACATACACATATTTACATATGTATATATATATATATATATATACATATACATACATACACATACATATACATACACATATACATATATATACATATATATACATATCTATTTATCAATCTATTATCTATGTAACCATTTATACATCTATATATACACACATATGTATACAGGCATACTCATATACACATACACACCCTTAAGTACATATACAGCCATATATATTCATATATATATATGTGTGTGTGTGTCTGTGTGTGTGTATACCGGGTGTAACAGCAAAATTGTCCAATTGTTAGATTAATCTTTGAACCGTTGTATGTTAGAAATGATTTTAAAAAATCTTATTGGAATTCTCCGAGGTTTTATAAAACAATTCGACTTTACCTTGAACGATAAGAATGTATTTAGCTCTAAGTTGAAATGATGATGCCTCTTGCTGTTATGACCTCTTGATCCAGCTTTCCTCGCTACTGTTCCCTCTTTTTTAAATATATTCACCATTCTCTTGATGGTTCTTGAATGGACTTTGAAGATGGAAGCAAGAGTATGAATGTTGGTAACGTTAATGAAGGCGTAAATGATCTTTATCCTCTCACCATTGCTCAATAGGGATGACACACAACGATTTTAACCTGTTCTATCTTTAGCTGAATAACTCAAAGGGTTTTTCAGTGATTCTTACTGCAAATGGTGTCAAGATGGCTAAACGTCTTATCTAAAAATCTGGGAAAAAGAAACTCTATTCAGCATTTTTGTGGGATGGACAATTCTGCTGTTACTCTCGATATATATATATATATATATATATATATATATATATATATATATATAATAGAAATGACAATAGGAAAACTGGTAATTGCTGACGCGTTTCGTCCAATGTGGACTTTTGCTTTGTTAAAATCCACATTGACTAAACGCGTCCAGCAATTACCAGTTTTCCTATTGTCATTTTTTATTCATAAATATTGTCTTCTCTACCGATTAAATCGGATAAATTTTCATATATATATATATATATATATATATATATATATATATATATATAATTAATCCTACGCCAATATAAAGTACACTTGAGAGAGATATGAAATTAACCCCTCCCTATACTCTACCATGTCTATTTAACTATCCCTCTCACACCCCCTGTTAAATTACAAAAACTTACACTACCCATCAATTTTAATCTCATTTTTCGTTTCATTTCATTTTTGGAAGTGCTATCTGATGATCCGGCCTCCTTTTAAAAGGACTCTGGTGAAATAAATTATTATAATGGTACCTTAAAGTGGTCTGTTTTCTTTTAAATATTAGCTCTGGATTTACATTGAGCTCTCAGGATTTCATCCTCCTTGGGATTACCCATACGGATTACCAAGTTCTTCATGACTTAACTATATATATATATATATATATATACTTTATTATAGGATATTAAATTCGAACAATTGTAAAACCGCTACATAGATGCATTCCTGTTTCGATGCATATGATCGCATCTCATCAGGCGGTAATAAATGAGGGTTACCTTCATTTTCATTTACTACCTCCTGAAGAGATGAGATGATATGCATCGAAACATGAATGCATCTATGTAGCGGTCTTACATATGTTCGAATGTAATATATTTCTATAATAAAGAATATTGCTCTACTATTTTATTGAACACGTTCTCATTTCATATATATATATATATATATATATATATATATATATATATATATATATATATATATATGACGAAAG